GTAATCAGTGTGGAAAAATACTACAAATTTATTCTGGTGTCGTCCTTGTAATTCTTTTCAATTTAAAAAAGAATTTGATCAATGGACTAGCGGAAATAAAGATGTTGATGAATTCCTACAAAGATCTCAACTAGGAGCAACAAGTAAATTTGAAATACTTGAATGGATTTCATTTGAAAAATTTAATAATATCGAAAAAATCGGTGAAGGCGGTTTTTCGAAAGTCTATTTGGCTGAATGGAACGAAGGAGATATTAAGTTTTGGAAAAAATATAGTCCATGGGAGAAATATATTGATTTTTCGGGACAAGATGGTCGATGGGAGAGATCTGGGAAAATAAAAGTTGCGCTGAAATGTTTAAATGATTCTCAAGAGATATCTAAGGAATTTTTAGAAGAGGTAATATTATATACATATAGTGTATGTTTTTTATAAAAATTTTTATTGACTTTTTATCTTTAATCAGGTAAAAAACCTTTATAAACTAAATAATGAATCTCAAATTACTCGATGCTATGGAATCACTAAAGACAAAAGATCAAACTTTATGATTGTTATGAAATTTGTTAATCATACCAATGCAATTCACAAGCTATCGTGGTACAAAAAGTTCAGGCGTTTACATTTTGCCGCACTTGGATTATACAAAATCCACGAGGCCGATTTAGTTCACCGAGATTTTCATCTTGGTAATGTTCTTTTTTCTAAAGAAAACGATGCCGTATACATAACAGATTTAGGGTTATGCAAACCAGCCAATTTTAATGAAAGAGAAGATACATTATATGGAGTTCTTCCGTATGTAGCGCCTGAGGTTTTGCGTAATAAGAAACATACAAAGGCTGCAGACATTTATTCGTTTGGAATGATTATGTACAAAGTATTTTCCGGCGTTCATCCTTTCAACAATGTCAATTGTGATGATGTGGAAGAAAGCAAAATCCTTGCAATAGAAATCTGTGACGGAAAACGACCAGAAATCAAGGATTTACCCCCTTTAATAGCTGAATTGACAAAAAAATGTTGGGATGCTAATCCAGAAAGACGACCATCTGCTGAAGACTTGTGCAAAATTTTGAATGCATGGAAATATTTTCACTCCGATTCTGAGCTTGCTAAGCAAATTAAGGCAAGTGATGTTAATCAGACGCATCAATTGACTAGTCTTATAAGTGAACAAATTCAAACAAGTCAGCTTCTTTGTACAAGTAAACTTCTTGATTTTAAAAATCTCCCGCAACCCAAAAATTCCTAAATTGAGGTAAATCGGACAAGTCAAAGTCAAGTCTTAAAAGCAACTTATTGATTCATGCATTGATGGCTGAAAAATCAATATCTAAGGTAAATAGTACATAATATTGTATAATAAAACTTCGATATAAGCTTGTTTATGAATATTTAATTTCTGTTTTTCGAAAATAGGGAGTCAAAATTTAATTTTTATTTAAGATTTTTTTAATAATTTATGGCATCATTGAAATTATATCAAATCACTACTATTATAAATAGTTTTGTTGTCACTATTGCAATAATTATCATAATAAAGGTTTTGTATGTCTATTATTTATAACATATCTTCTGTGCTATTTTAATTTTGAAATCAACAAATTCGTTATGTTTTGCTCAATTAACTTGTTCTGATAGACTAATCTTGTGATATAAATTAGGTTACTAAAACTTTTACAAAATATTTGTTTCTATTTTAAAATTCATATTAAAAACATAAGGCCTTAGAGTATACACATTTGTTTCTTTATTGTTTTTTTTTTTTGTTCTTTTATTTTTTTATGTAATTAGTTAAAAAGGAATTTGCATGATATGATAATAGATTAGCATATGTGGATTTAGCTAGTTAAAATAGTAGTTAACAATTTATAATTGTACCTATTGTAATTATAAGAAATTAGGTCTGCAATTAGAAAAAAGAAAGTTTATTAACAGGTGCCTCATATGTGCAAGTAATACAAGTTCCTACCTATCTATTATTATATGATATCCTGATTCAAATTAGTAACAAACTCATTAAGTACCAATAATACCATATAAGCAATATTCAATTTGTATATTGTCATATATTGTTTCTACCTCAGAAGAAAGATAAAGATGGAAAACTAGTAGCAGAGAGACACTTTAGATAGACAGGACCAATGTGGTGTGCTAAATTTCCTGAAAGCATACAAATTAGTATAATTCTGAGGTATATAAGGTCAGGCGAAAGAGACAATAGTGATTTGTTTGTAAAGGTCAAGTTATTTTATTCAATAAAATATAAGTTCAAACCTACCAATTCCTAGATAAAATTGGAGCCTTTATATACATATTTGAGTTATCTTATTTTTGTATATAATAAATATATATTATAAGAAAAAATAGAGATATAAAAGAAATGTTACATTCATCAGAACAGTTATCTGTATGTGTTAACATAGAAACAAATGCTCTGGCAAAATACAATAATAAATATAAATAAATAAAATAGAAAATATTTTAGAGCAGCAATAGCATGAAAATCATAGTGCTAAACAATAACAAGAATAGTAATACAAGAATTATTCTAGAAGAAGCAATATTTCAAGAGTAAATGCTAGTGAAAATTAGGCAATAAGTAGTGATGATCTTGGATGAAAATCAAGTGTAACAAT